GGGGGGGCAGTGATGACAGTATTGATAAGCCCCTTGATATTTATTAACAGACATTCATCTTTGCATTTATATAATGTGATGTAAGGTGTCAAACTATTTGGAGAAGTTTTCAGTTTGGCTATAGCAGTACCAGGCTTTGCAAGACTTGATAAAACTCAAATAGAAATCAACAAAAACAAAAGTGGGTTTCCAGTTTTCTTTCCAATTCAAATAAATTCATCATCCTCCTCAGGTTCTTCCTCATCTCCTCGCTTCTTTCCTTTATTTAAGTCTTTCTCCTTAATATATTTTATCAGCATTTAGGCTGGAAGACACCTCTATTTACCAAACGTCCAGTCTGTAACGATTACTTCCGTCACATCCACACTAGTTTTTCTTGTAATCGTTTAACTATATGGTTGTAGTTTTACTATAGGGATTGTCCCTATACTGTGGTTCAAGCCCCATATCAGCTACTGTAGCATTATCTCTACTGAAGTGCTTTTGAACAAGATACTGCAAGGGCAAAGTAAAAACAAGTATTTCCCCCACAGGAAGCAATAGATTAATACATTCTTATTATGATAACAGCCAAATAGAGGGTGTAGTAGTATTTCATATCCTTGTTTTTCCTACTGCATGGCTACTCTGAGAGCAGGCACGAGGCCCGGCATTGCTATCTGATGTCACTGCATTAAACAATAACAGGCCTTCAGTGTAAACAGGAAACAGGAAGTTGATCTCTGATAGATGAATGGACCGAGATGGACACTCACAGTACACATATTAGCTGTTTAAATTGACAAATGAGAAGGAAATGTATAGTAAACTTAGAGGATGGTCAAGATTTAGTATGATTATAGCAACAGTCTTAACACACTTTATCCAGAATGATTTACAGTATTTTACAATCTGTTCAAATACATTTTGATTCATATCTACAGTACATGCTGTTTGCAAACAATCTTCTTTGTGTTGAATGGTGTTATTTTGTGAAGCATGCACCAGCAACTCATCAGTTACTGGCTGTTATGATGGGTGTTTTGTGCAAGTTGTTTCACACACACGCACATAGAGAAAGACTGAGATCCATCATTCTGTCAGAAAGCTCTGCCAAAAAACTTGGCAGGCAGGTGAAATAAGACATCTAAAGAAAGCAGGGAGACAGAGGAGGCAGAAGCAGCAACAGCACTGATCTGTTGTTCAGTTTGTCTGCTCTAACTGACTTGCTGCAATTTCTCCACCTGTCAGCAACAACTCACAAGAATGCTGTGCGTGTGTGTGTGTGTGTGTGTTTTGGGAAGATTTTTTCACTCTTCTAAGGCAGCATCGTTATTCTTGGCTCAGTAGAATAGCTGGTCTTTAGGGAATAAAACGGACACAGACATTCAGTCTTAGACACTCTTTTTCACACACATACATGCACACACATGTACATACACCCACTAAGCTGGAATTCCCCCGGATGTCACCCTTGGCCTGCTGGCATTGTAAATGTTTAAATGACAGAGTGGTCGAAATAAACTCCCACAATCCTCTGTCTTCAATGTCTCTTCCATATGTTTGTCCTTCACACACTTTCTGTAGCCCCCTTCTCGTCTTCCCTATGTTTCTCTCTCACTACATCCAAAACTCTCTCCATTCCCTCTCTCTGTCACTTCCTGTCTCTGTCTTCAAGCCTGTGTTAGCACTATATATTAAATATTTAATGTCAGTTGTGCCCTTAGCCATAATTGCCATCTCAGCCTCTGAATAATGGATGTAACTGTGCCATTCACTACTACACTATGGCTAACAGGCTAAGAAAACAGCAACTGTTGTTCGCTACATTACTATGTCTAACAAACTAAATAACACTTGCATATTCATGCAGATGATTACATTACTGCACCTAACACGCTACAGTAAATAACTATGGCTAACAGACTTTACAACACAGCATCCAGCTGTGGCTAGCTACATTATCATGGCTAACAGGCTAAAATAACACTATGGCTTGCAAAGTTAACACCATGGCTACAGTAAATAAAACCATGGCTCACAGGTTAAATACACCATCCAACTGTGGTGAGAGCACTGGTTTCAAAAAGTTACAGAATGTGGTTCACACAGTCTCCCCCATCTGATATTGGAAAGGTGTCGGGGGAGGGGTATCTAACACTAGTTCCTTACACACTGCCTTTTTGAGGCAGGATTGGTGCAACCTTATTCCATCTCTTTTTTTGTGTGTAAGACGCAAGGCCATAATGGCGGCCATTTTCGTTCTGCCTCTGGTTCACCTTGGGAGGTACTACCAGAGGAAAAAAATTGAGGAGACGCGCTCCTTGTAGAAAGGGTGAGCTGGCAGTCTGGGACCAAGTGCTACGTTTTGATGGCGTAATATGTGCGCGACACTATCACTGGTGTCTCAAGTCTGCACGCCTTTCTGCCCCGAACTATTCTCAGTTTCTCTTTAAGTTATAGGTCAAAGCATTCCTGATGTCATGAATGCATTGATTGTGGTTATTAGTCATGACATTCACACACATATCAAGAACCACTCTAACCAGTTTTGCATGAAGTGAGAAAAATGCTTGAAGAGCCAACAAAGCTATATCCGCAATTATCTCTCTTCCCACTGTTGTTTTGGTTTGTAGACTACTGGCGCAAATTTTACATCACAGTTGACACAGAGCAGCATCGCATGTCTGCCTTCATGCGGAATATCGGCCTGCAGTCTGAATGCACAGGTTGGCTAACGATAATACCGCCCTTAGCTTGATCTGTATGAGCAGCACAAGGGCGGGATATTGGCGACCCTTTGGAAAGGCAGTAGTGCAGGATCTCATGTAAAAATGACTGCTGCCTAACCATTGAACATGCTTCACTATACATTAGTTTCCACAGCCACAAACTTTCCCTAAACACAGTTGAGAAGAGGTTTACAATCACCATGTAAAGTAATAAGCATGGGGAGTCCGGTGGCTTAGTGGTTAAAATACACCTTAAACCTTAAAAAATGAAAAGAGTGCAAGAGGATGTGTGTGTGTTTGAGACTCTTTGTGTGATTGCAGCGTGGAGGACTGGTGTTGGGTCAGCTCTTTGAGTGCCGTACTCTCAATATAGCAAAGGTCAACAGTGCTGTTATCACTTGAACATGCTCAGGCCATGGAGAGAGGGAGCAAGATAGAGGAGAGGGGGGAAGAGTGCTCCCCTCCCCCACAGCCATTCAGTCTCTCATAATTGCTGGTTTAATTGGAGGCCTCATAATGACCAGTGACTGGACCAGCCAATCAATTCACACGAGGTGTCTGTGTGTGTGTGTGTGTGTGTGTGTGTGTGTGTCTGTGTGTTTGTAGCTGCAGGGCCTTTTTGTAGCAGAGTTGATTAGGGCAGATGGGGTCAACTGAAGGGGGAACAGGAATGAACATACTGCATTAAAATGTAGAATATGTTCGACTCAGTGAACAAAAACGCTTTCACGAGAAATAGATGGCATTCATACCAATTCAGTGGATCAGATCAGTGTTAAATACACCTTTGAGGTACTTATATTTTGCTTAAGTATTTTCACTTTGGGCTTGTGTACTGTATTACTTACAGCAGTAACACGTAGTACTTGTGTTCCCATTTTCTAAATGCAAAACATTTATCTGTAGAGCACTGCTAAAAAATATCTAAACACTTTGTCCACTGTTTTAGTGTTTTCAGATTTCAGGCAGATGAGCGGGGGAGTGTGGGAGTCACCTTCTTTACAGAGAGATTTACAGCGCAGGGTCATCTAAGGTGGTCATGTTAACGCTATGTTAGTGTTGCAAGAAGGACTAGACAGTGGGAGGTCAGCAGGGGTGACCATGGCTGTCCTCCTCTGTGATAGGCTGTCACCCGAGGGTGAGGGGTCAAGATAATTAGGCATGCAAAATCCCAGCGCTGGTGTTCTAACGAAGCCTGAGCTCGTTAACGCAGAGTTTTACACTCAGACCTGCCACTGGGCTGTGCTGCACCGTCACACATGCACATACACTCACACTGGGAGAGCATGTTTGCACACACACACACATAGGCACACACCTCTGCTTTGTTCTGGTTGTCCAGTATAAGAGCTGTCATCTCTTGAACAGTAGAGCACCAGCCATAAGGAAATAAAGGTGATGCAGACTTGTGAAAAGTCTAAATTATTCAAGTACATACTTTTATTGTGTTAAGATGAATCCAGGGTGTGGACACCATCTGATTCAATCCAATACAAATAGCTCAAATTGTTCAAAGTTCAGCAATAAAAAGAGAAAACAGCTGTTTATTCACAAAATGCAGAAGCAGAAAAAGGGTTTTGTGAAGAGCGCAGTGCAGTGGGAGTGTTTTTGTGTGAGGTTGTGTGTTTTTGCATGAGTGTGCCAGGCTGGCCAGCTGGCTGACACCATAACACAACCTGGATGTGTTTGTTTTCTGTTGATGGCCATCTGTGTGTTTGATTCATTCTAAAATATAGATTCATGATATATAGTCCCATATAAAACAACACGTCAACATATAGTTCCCCTTTTTAAATCGCATGACATCATGGTTAGTGTTAGGAAACACTTCTGCCACATGTTGTGCTTGAAATTGTTTCTCATTCATATCAGGAATTAGGTTCATGTTGAACAAAAACCAGAAGAAAGAAAAAAAGTAAGAGGGAGTTTTTAAAAGTATGATGAAGTTTTAAGTCAAATAATATAAGAGTGGAGGTGAAACTATCCCACCGTCACATATTTTACCAGTTTTGTTGGATTATGCTACTTAACTTGCCTCCTTGTGTGTTCATCCAGCACCTTTATGTGGCATTTCAAAGCTGGTGAGGATTTAAGAACAAAAATACACATCTACAAGAAAATTCATTTTGAATTCCCAAAAGTATTAAATATTCATTTCTCTGTAGTTGTGGTCTGTCTGTACTCTATGTGTATGAGACTAGGCTTGGATTCAACAGTGGGGTGGTCCTCGCTTTGGTCTGACAATAAACTGTTAACCTCAAATATTGCCTGTTCTCTCTGGTTCCACAGATTCTTTCTCAAGTTTTTCCTCAAATGCAACCAGAACTGTTTAAAGAATGCAGGAAACCCTCGAGACATGAGGAGGTTCCAGGTAAAAACCACCACACTTTTGTACTCTTATAGCTAATTCCTCTTTTCCTGTGAGCGTGTTTGTATCCCCCCCCCCCCCCCTTTTTCCCCTCCATTTTTGTTTCTATGTTTAGCTGTCACTCTCTTTTTGTTTGTGTCATATAATGTTGCACATAACTTTATGGCTAATGTAACAAAAGAATGTGTGTGTGTTTCTGTGCAAGTAAATAAGCTGTCAGTGCCTTGACAGGAAACATGAAACCCTGACCCTGGCTAGTCAGAACATAAATATACACACAATGCAGGGAGTCAGAGAGGAGGGTGTTCCAGAGAAAGAAAGAAAGAAAGAACGAACACTTGTGGGGCTGTGAATATAATTTAGGGCAGTGCAGTCTTTATTATTTCCTTATCTGCATGGCCACAACACAATCAGGAAGACACCACTTGAGTCTAAATGGAGATAGTAGACACCTAAGAGATATTGATAGATTTATTACAGTGGTACATGTGTGAAAATATGTGCGCGATATGTACGCGTGTGTTTGTGCTGGTGTGCGCTTAAGTGTATGTATGTGTGTGTCTGTGCAGTCCATGTTTGTGTCTGTGAGATAGGACAGCGAGACAGAGTCGTACAGTATCAGTAGCGTAGTAGTGTGACAGTATCCGTGCCTCTAATTGTGCAGCTCTATTGTAGTGGAACCAGAGAAGACAGCTCTGTTTCCCTGGGAGATAATTAAGGGCTGGACCCATCAAAAGCTATTGAACAGAGGAGGATAGACACACACACACACACACACACACTGTGCAGTCACAGTGACTTAGTATGTGTTGAGGGTGATGGTAATAGTAGTGATAACAGGTTACAGTACATTTAAAGAGCTTTTCACAGTTTCATGCTTCGAACTCCTACTTGCAATGATCTCTCAAGTCCGACTTTGTAATTTCTCATTTTTTCTTTTCCTTGCTCTCTCTCTCTCTGATTTCCTCACACACACACACCCTCCCATTCTTACTCCTGTTTCATCTCCTAACTTCCTTGTGCCTTCCCCAACCTACCTCCCCTCCCCCGTCCCATCCCCTGCTTCTCTCCAGGTGGTGGTATCAACTACAGTGAGCGTGGAGGGACACGTCCTGTCAGTCTCAGACAACATGTTCGTCCACAATAACTCCAAACATGGCCGACGGGCCCGCAGACTTGACCCAGCAGAAGGAACGCCGTCTTACCTAGAACACGGTAACGTATGAGTGTGTGTTTGTGTGTCTGCGCATGAATGTGTGTGAGTGTAAGCAGCATGGCCACCAGATGGCTGATGGTTTAATCCTATCAGGTGATTCCTACCCCTCCATCTGGCTAATCCAACCCACTACACACACACACACACACACACACACACACACACACGCCTACACACTCACAATGCATAGTATGGTGCTTTTGTGTGTGTATACATGTTGCTAGGTCTAATATCATTAAACCTCTTTTTCACAAACAAACCCAGACTAAGGGGTGTTGCTATAATTCAACTGCACACTGACAATCACACATACACAAGTATTGGTTTTTGATAGACAAGCTCATGCTGCTGATGTGATATTGGATTGGATCACATGAGCTTTTACACACAATACTCAATATTGAAATGGCATAAAGCTGATCGTAGTCCATTTGAAGTATTATAATACAACCTTCTGTGTGTGTTTTTATCTATGTCAAATCATTATTGAAAAAGAGAGCAGTAATCTTATATCAGTCTTATGGCGTGAACAGGCAATAAATAAGAAGAACATCATGGAATGCAGGTGGTGCTTGAGCATCACATTCCATTTTAAATAATTAAAAACATTTTGCTCATCTTCACAGAATACTAAAAGTACAGTATTGTTAATTTTTGACATTTGGGAGCAGTGTAATGTAGGATGAAATAAGTTCAATTGTTTGCCAACAAGGTTCAGAGTTTTCATCTGCATCTCATGGAAATAGTTACAGTAGAGCTGATGTTTAAATTGTAGTTAATTTGATACTATGTTCTCCACTGCACTGCAATCAAACAAACAAATTTTACACTAATAAAATTCTTCAGAAACTGATGCAATGTTTTTTAACTGAAAAAAAACTGAACGCACTGTTTATTCAGTCACTGTATACAATAATTTGCAAGGAGAAACTTCTCTACTGCCCTTAGTCTTTGTGCTGATCTGGAACATAGCCAAAAGGGTGTGTGTACCATGAAGAAATATGAGGTGCAGATGCAACTGGGATGAAAAGGCTTCAAGCCAGATTTCTCTTCTTGTTCAGAGATGGATTGGTATTTAAGGAAATAAATGTTTTTCTCTAACTATGACTGTATAATGAGATTTCATGTGTTGAAACCGAATGTTGATGCTGTGGGTTTTATTCAGATGCATTTCAAATGCCAAAATTTACTGCAATCGGCCAATCTCATTGCTCCAGGAGCCGCTCCCTGCATTAAAGCCATCAGCCCCAGCGAGGGTTGGACTACAGGGGGCGCTACAGTTATCATCATAGGGGACAACTTCTTTGATGGTCTCCAGGTCATCTTTGGTACCATGCTGGTTTGGAGCGAGGTCAGTTTGCATACAATCATCTTCCTGTCTCGATGTTGTTTCAGTCCCTCAGTGTGTTTTTGCCCTTGGACTGTTGGAAGTAATTCAGTATGAAAACATACTTTTCCTCATGGTCAGGCTTTTGTCTGTGTGTGATCATATGCGTGTGTGTGTGATAGTGTGCGTCTAAATGAAGTTTTCCTCTCTAATGAGTCCCCACCACCGAGCAACCGCCATCCCTCTCTACCTACCTCACCCACACTCCCTCTGTCTCTTTCTCTGGAATACTGAGCAAATCAGCAGATTTTGATAACCATCAGCCAAATGCTCACACACACAGAGAGTTCGCTATCGTACTTTTCCCCAGCGCCACTCCTCTACAGTATGTTTATTTGTCTTCTGACTCCACTCACCGTGTGCGCCGAGTGACCATGGCTGCCTTCCAACAACAACACCAAGCGTGTGTATGTGTGTGTGTGTATGCTGGCATACGTGGATGAGTGTGTGTGAGTTAAGAGCTGAGGGATTTGTTTACAGTGTTGAGAGCCACACTTACACAAACTAACATGTGTACAGAGTCAGTTCAGTTCACTTCAAACTGACTCAGCTCTCTTGACGTTTCACAAACAGGCTTCTAATGGATTTTGGCCAACCAAATGTTTCATTTGCACTCAACCTGATTATTGATTCCAAAGCGAGAAAACACAGTTTGAAAAATGTGTTGGTGGAAAGTGACTGCATGTTTGCCAAGTTCTGTTTGTCTTCATCTCTTCCACTTGCCTACAGGTTTTTCACAAACACGGGGCAAATAATAAAATCAGTTTTTCAAAACCATGCATAAAAATGTGATGCTGAATGCTTGGTGTTTGTCACATACAGCTCAGACACCTGGTGTCAGCAAAGGTGCTGGGAAATCTGATTTTAATTATAGTAGCTAGTTGATTTTCTTTTTTGGAACATGCCAAACTTTTGGTGCAGTTCACATGAGATTCGATACATTTTTTTCCAAAAGCGCAGTAGCACATCCAAGCCAAAAATACTAGTCATAATAAAGCCTCAGTTAAGAGGATTTCAATTAATAATGTATCTTAACATGTATTCTGCATTGGACATAAGAGTCACTGGGGCAGCTCAGAAGGTAGAGCAAGTGATTTTCTACTTGGAGGGTTGGTGGTTTGATTCCTAGTTTCTACAGTCCACATGTCCTTGGGAAAGACTGAACCCCAAGTTGCTCCTGGTGGCTGTCCCAGTGGTGTATATGCGAATACGTAAATGTACATTTTAAAATTGATCATCTCCTAAAGTGAGAGAAAGGAAACAGTTTGCTGCAAATGTCCAATTTCAATTCAGGGCATGTGATCAGCTTTAATATAAAACTGCATCCAAATTGCAGGTTTAACTGCAGATTTAATCCAAAATGGTTTAATTATATTAAGATATATAACTAAAATAAAACTGCATGAAATACAAATACAGCGCAGTGTGAGGTGATTTCTATAATGCTAACAGCTCCAAATGCGATACATCTCCAGCCCACAACCTGAATTTAGAGTGTAGCTTCAGCAAGAAAGCTCCTGCTAAACATGCTCAAAGGTGAACTCACAGTAATAGTCGAGACTGGATCTAGGGTCCGGTGTATAGAACAAAAAGAACAGCTATTTGGTTGCCTGCCGTAAATATGTTTTAATGCACCATAACCTGGCTACACCAAATCAGGACTCATCTGTTCTCAAAGAAACTAAAAATTATTTATTCCAGTGATTTTGTAACTTTTACCTGATCCAGAAACCCACATCATTTTGTCCTGTTCAGGTGATGTGTTTTTGCATACCGATATTTGTTCTTCCTTCTCCAGTTGATCACGTCACATGCCATCCGGGTGCAGACGCCTCCCAGACACATCCCAGGGGTCGTTGAAGTCACTCTGTCTTACAAGTCCAAACAGTTCTGCAAAGGCACACCAGGGAGGTTCATATACACAGGTAGATCCACTGTACACACACATACAGCTCCTAATTGAAATACATTATTCAATTTTTTCTCCTGTGTTCTGGGGGGTAGGTTTAATTCTGTTGCATTTTTGAAAAGCGTGTTTGCAAATACTGCCCGTGTGTGTGTGTGTGTGTGTGTGTGTGTGACAGTGAGCGGACACAGGGTCTACAAGTTGCAGTTCACTCTCAGGCCAGACAGTGTTGAACTAATGACTGTAGATTAGTTAACATTAAAGACCCACACTTAATACAATGTTGCCATAATCAGAGGCTCGTTAAAACCAGCTACAATTAAACAGTCTGCTCTTTATAGCCCTCCATACTGAAACTATTAGTGAAATCATCCAGAGCACCCAGTTTACTAACACACACATGAACACACACAATGCTGGAAGAGTGTATGTGTGTGGTTTCTGACCAGACTGTTGACTCTGAATGAGTTTTTTGCTAAATTCAGCAGAGGAGAGAAAAGAAGAAGAAAACATTCATGTGAGCGGGTTTGCTCATTTCGTTCGCACATACATGCGGAAATGGGTGAAGGTGATGTGATGTCTGGTATTGATCCGCTCAACATGGCTCCTTCACACCATAATGATGATGTCATTCATAGAGAGAGAGACAGAAAAAAACAGCAACTGAAAAATATCTTTGGGGTCTGAGACATTTAAAGACCTGAGTAATTTTCCAAAGATAAGGCTGAGAATTTAAACCTGATCAATGAAGATGAATAAAGCCATGAATAAATTGTCAGTTTTAATGTTGGTGCCAAATTCGTGAAGGCTTTAATATTTGCTGGTAAAGGGACTCCAGAGCAGCCTCGGTGCTCCTCTGTTTGAGGGAGGAAGCATCATCCACACTTTTTACTACTAATTATTAATAACTAATTCAGTAACCTAGAGCTGCTACCATTAGTCATTTAATTTAACTTTAAAGAAAAGTTAATCAGCAACTTTTTTTGAAGCAAAAATCACCAACATTTTCTTGTTCCACCTGTCCTGATGGTTTTCTTTGTCACATGTGATAATGAACTGAATATCTGTGGTTTTGTCAGTTGGACAAAACAAGATGTGAAGACATCACCTTTGACTCTGGAAAGTCAGAATTTGTCAGCCAGTTTTTTTGGGATTCTGTGAATAAGAACATTAATCAAATAATCAGGAAAGTAACTGACAGATTCATCAGTGCATTTTTTTATTCCAATAATTTATTCAGGATTTTCCTTTAATTTGTCACCTATCTGTATATGTACCACCTTTTAATTCAATACACATTTCAGGAAAACGCATACAGCAACAGGTTAATCATAATAATCATAATAGTGCTACCACTAATAATAACAGTAACAGCGCAGATGAACAAACTAAAAACAAAGAAAATAGCTCCACTTATATGAACCCATCCAATAGTTTAACATGCTAGAGAATGGCCAAATTAGTTGTTGTTTCTGGAAAGTGCAGATAAAAAACACACAGAGATGAGCACAATACATGAGAGCAACATTTATAAAACTAACCCAGAACATTGCTTTTGCTTGAAATGTCTTGATGAAGATTGAGAGTGTTACTTGCTGCATTTGACTGGTAGCTTCTTTGTGTAGACGAAGGTACTTTTGCCTTCAGTATTCTTCAGTCAAAACATCTTTGGCCTGACCCTGAGGCTAGTCGGCTTGTAATTGGTCTGTCTGGTGTCTAACTGCTTCTCCTATTGGACAGAGATGACCCCCAGTGACCTCGTGATTGGCTGATTGCTTCAACATGTAACCCAGGAAATGCGATCCGTTACCGTGGTTGCCTGACCCCACCTCAAGGTCGACTTCTTTCTGGAAGTCACCGGTGAAAGGTCACGGTGGTGAAAGCTGATTGGCTGTTGTGGTTTTCCTTTGCTTTAGCTGTGGTTGCCTCTGGGTCTAAGGACTGAGCAGTTATACACACTCATGACCGCACGCACTCCTGTGTTCAACAGTGGACACAGGTACACACACATAAAGCCACGCTTGCATAGGGTCATGTCTTACACAACTTACTATGCACACTTTAACACAGGGGCAGGAGTTAAAAGTAATTGTAAATCAGAGATATGAGGGAAAGATGGTGAGTAGTCTGGTAAACAGATGGTCTACCACATACATACACACTCACACACACACACTCTAAACACACACAAACACATAGTGCCGTATGGCTGCTACATCTGCCTGGTGGGAAAAATTAACATTCTCAACATCACACACACTATAAACACACAATGGTACAAAGTGACAATCAATAAATATTCTCACACACACAGACGTTATATACACACATGCACACAGAACACGCATACATACACACATACGGTATATAGAGCTGAGTTACTGTCAGTGTAGCTGCATGAGAAAATCCATAGCTCAGCTGTGGAGAAGAAACTTTTAGTGAAGACTGAAAAAGCATCACAGTTTTAGATTGTTCGCTCTTTTATGTGCAACTTTCATCTCTTAGACAGAATGAGAGAAGGAGAAAAAGACCAAAATAAAGTGAGACGCACATACAGAAAAAGAAAGAAAGGTGAACTTTTAAAACCAGTTTGTAAAGTATTGATCCACTCCTAAGTGGATCACATATAATGATGCACACATGCAGATACACACATGTACAAACACACAGAGAGCCACCCAGAGAAGAAGAGAAGAAGAGCTGAAGAGAAAGAGATCTCATCTCATAAGGGGAAGAATGAAGCCGTAATTCAGTGGTATTGAACTGCTGGCTGGCCAGAGAATCGATATCACCGCATCTCCTCTCCTTCTCCTCTTCTTCTTCTCCTTTTACATCAGCCCTCTTCGTCCTTTCACCCACCCAGCTTCACCCTCCCCCCGCCTTTTTTCTCCTCTTTGCACTCTTTTGTTTGCACTCAAGTGATAGCATGTTACCATTGCGTAATAAATGCAGATAAGAAATCCTACATCTTCAATATTTTGTCTTTATGTCACCATGCTTTTCCACTTCCCCCCCTCTTTTTTCACTCTCCCTCCTCTTTTCATGTTTTTATTGTGAAACAGGAGTGGAGGATCTGTCCTCATGAAACTTCTATGAGTATTGATCTGCAGGCAGCTTTGGACTCTGAGAGGAAGGGTGAGGCTGGAGGAGGAGTGACAGAGGAATGGATAGAAGGATGAAAGTGGCAGAAGGTGTAGTTAAGAATGAGGGGGAAGGAGAAGAAGCTGAACTGAGGGAGGAGGGAGGAGGGGGAAAGGCAGAATGAAACAGGCTTCAGTGTCGCCACATCATCTGTTGAAGGCTCTCTAGTTTCAAACGTGTGTGTTCAGCTGGGTCAGTGCTATGATAATGTATCTGTGGAGATTTTAGGGTTTTAAAATTAGTAGCACAAGCCAGAAAGTGATAAATAATAAAAGAAGTTGGTTTATTTGTACAAGACACTTAGCATTTTGCTTACCATTCTCAATATGGAAAACAAACTCAAAATTTGTGACTGGAAAATGTGTGATGTAAGGTTCAAGGAGTCAGGGCGTGGTTGGTGATTTAGTGATGATGCATACAACTTAACCACAGAAGATGGCATGCAACGAAGATCCCCAGTTAGTTTCATACTAGTGACATTCAGATGTTGTCATGTATTTTGTGTCAGTGGTCTGTCACTCACTGCTGTTGCTGCATCGCTTGGTCACCAAGACACTCTTAAAAATGTGATCCCCATGAGGATTTCCTGGTTAAATTAAGTTTAAATAAATAAAAAACACATTCCTCCCCCTCCCCGAATTAGGAGCACTACACCAGCTAATTGGACTGGATGGAGTTCTCAACAAAAAAATGACGTGTCTCCTACCAGCAGCCAGCGTTGTCTGTGATGGTCCCACACTTTGTGATGTATGCATTTTAGCTTTAATAACTTTATGATGGATTGCCTTGCAATTTAAAAGAGACATTCATGGTTTCCAGACAATGTATCCTCACATCTCTAAACTTTATGTGTTTTGGGTGTTTGTGTGACTGGTGCATTGCACATCGCACACACGTCACAGCCGACTGTAATCAGTTGGGTGGCTTTCACTGCACTGACACTATTTCTGTTCAGTGTGGAAAGAAGCCATCAAAGAAATAATTTGAGAAGCTTGACCTTGTGCACACACGGAGAACATACTTAGGTTAAACACTCACATACAGTACACACAAACCTACATAAGCCTATAGACACACAAACACACACACACACCATTCAACGATTTAAGAAACATATTGTTCTATTAATAAAGGGTCGGTTGGAGACACTTAAGTCCTAAGGCATCGAAACCACTCTATCCTGTTATGTGTATGTCTTTGTGCATGTGTGTGTTATATTAGAGCTGGCATCAGTTGAATGTCTCCAGAGAGGTAAAGAGAGTGTGGATCTGACGCTGGCAGTTAATTCTGACAGTTGATATCCCAGTGACTGTTAGCCAGCTGTTTTTGTAGTTTTGTTTTTCTCAGCTATAGCTGAGTTTTGTTTTTCCTTCAGTTTTTTTTTTCTGCGAGTTTAACACAAATGCTTTTCCCCTCTCTTCTACTTTCCTCCCACCTGAATTGGAATCTTTTACCTTCCTTTACCTTCAGTCAGCTTTTCTCTTCTCTTTCTGTTCTGTTCTCTTTGACCTACACTTACTGTAACTCCCTCCAGATCAGTCATGCTAATGTGATTATCAGATGTAATTATCATATCCAGGTATGATTCATAAATTCTTAATTTGTTCACAGAGTGTTGCTCATGATAGTTTAACATCTGGTATTTTTACAGCTCACAATTTATGTTGCTAACAAATTGATCGGTTTAGGACATAACAGAAACCATGTGTGATATGATAATAAAACAGACCATACATATAAAACACACACACACACACTGAAAAAACTCCAAAACAACACATAAGGCATTCAGCTGCAAGTAATTTATCAGTGCTGGATGTGGAAAGTACCAAATATCACTCCAGCTGCACACTTGGGCATCACGTGCACGTACACATGCACAAACACACCCTCTGCACTCCACACCTCTCTTCATCTATTCCTCCCTCCATCTGGCACATGCAGTAACTTTAGGTTCAACAAGCGGCTGAAGACAAGCTCAGGACATATAAATATACACAGACACACACATGCAGCCTCACACACACAAAATACCATCTTTTTGACTGACAGAGCTTTCAGAGCCCGACTCAACTGACATATAGACTGGATAAAGACTGCAGAAGAACATAATTGCAACATTTAAGCGAACACTTTAAAACCCTTTAGATTATGCTGCTGCGGTATTGCAACCATTAGTTACTCCACCAGGTCTATCCATTTCTGCACATTTGCATGTTGCATTAAACTGTCTGCACTCCATCACAGTAAAACAGCGAAGTTTGAAATTGTTTAAAGTGTCATTTCACTCAGATTAGTTCCTTATTTACCTTTAGTAGGCTTTGACACAAAACAGAATCTTTCACTGAGTCACAAGTTTAGACAGAATATTCAGCTTTTCAGCACTCATTGCTACTGATGTTTTTGTTCTTCAGTGCACCTTACATACAACTGTGAGAAATATTTTATTCACTGCTGCTGCCCAGTTACAATCCGCAGCACCTGCAGAGCAGCTGCAACACATTGTACCCTTTTCAACAGTCCATATGTCTTACACCCTAAAAAAGTGCTGAGCAAACACAAATTATTAAGGCAACAAGGATTCAGTGAGATAAAAGTTTTCCTTTATAAATAAAGGAAAACTTCGTGCTGTTGTAATCACATTTAAGGACTGCTCAATAAATAAACATAAATGAATACCACACAAATGAAAATTAGCTGAAACCTATCACATACTGGTAAACATGGGGGTTAACAGAACAAACACAAAAATGTAAATCTTAAGCACAACATATATGTTAATAATCAGTAATAAATATTGTCTTTTTTTTCTGATGGTTGAGCATCATAAATGAAATTCCCTTCACTTCCACTGTATTGGAGGGCTAGCAGAATTTCCACAAACATATCTTACATTTCAGAAATGGAATAAATAAAACCAAAATATCTACATGGCTGCTGTAAATACCAGTAACAATAAGTGAGAAAAACCATTTTCTGTAACTTGGGTGACCTGAACCTTTAAGTGGCAGGCAAACCCGGTGGTGTACTACCTCCACCGGCTTCAGCAGGTGTTTGAATAACATTCTGGACAAATTCTGAAACAGCAGCTGTTGTTGAGAGATGTGCTTTCCTCAGTTACAGTACAGTTTCCCAGACACATTTTGAACTGCTGACCTCTCAGTCACAAACCTTCCTCTCTCACACACACCCCAGCTTGTGGTGGCTCTTAGAGATCATGCTGAGCAGGTTTGTTATTTTCCAGTCTAGTTTTGCACTAAAAAATAAATAAATAAAAAACTCCCACTTGATACCAGTGTGGTGCTGGGAACAAAATGTCACAAAATGGGATGTCATCCACTCTCCTCACCAATCAGATCCCTCCTGCTGACTGGCACAGATGATGTGACTGTGTCTGTTCATCATGTGAACAAGTTCAGGCTGAACACAAACAACACTGAGGTGTGGAATGTAATGCATTCCTTTTGAAACAAGTCATAAACCAAATGAAATTAATAAAGCAGGAAAGAATGGGTTGATTATATAGTGTCATAACAACACACTACCATTAGGCTTTGTGTTATTTTGCATCAGAGAAGATGCGAAATAAACATATGTATGTGTAGGAAAGTCTGCAGAGACTGAAGGGGTGAGAGCCAGTTTTCCTTTTTCTCATCAAGGCTCAATGGTCAGTCTCTATTTGCATTTGTACTACAGTTGGGTGACAAATTATTAGAAATACCCAAATGAATGGGCTCATCCTGAATGACAGTGCTGTGATGAACAACAATACTAGTGTATTGCATCAACATATTGTTCAACAGTATGATATATACAACTCATTCAATGGAAGTGTGCTGGATGCAGCACGGTGCAGGCGAACAGATTTTAATATCAATATCTTATGCCAAATTATTACAAGAAACAAGTCAGAGTCCTTGTCTCCAACTTCCAAGTCTGACTGCAGAATACTCAAGTACTACAGCACATCTTGTGAGATGTTTAAGCGGATTCTTTCTGTAGTAACCAGTGAACTTGCAATAAGTTTTCTCCTCCTTTTTACCGATTCTTCCTCTTTCTGTTTGTAGCACTGAATGAGCCAACCATCGACTATGGCTTCCAGAGGCTTCAGAAAGTTATCCCTCGGCATCCTGGGGACCCAGAGAGGCTGCCAAAGGTATCGCAAATGATTAACATTCACCTTTTGCACATGTATGTGATTCTTTGGGACACCTGAAGGAGTAGATATTGTAGCTCTCACAGTGATCAAACCAGCGACGTCTGAGTTCTACTGAGCTACAATACACTGAGTTGCTCTGCTATCAAAAGAACAAGCACACAGAGATACACACAGATAAATTCAAAACAGTAAGAACAAAATAATAGTGTTTATATTTTATTCATTGGTTTTGTTTTTATATTTCTAAGCAGACTATGTATTTTTAAATCTCCTGTGAGTTGTTTTTACCTCGTCATGTGTGAGATGCTTAACCCCCATTTGCAGAGTGAGTGTTTGAATCTTCTCTGCATCAGAGTCATATCTGATTATTTGTTTATAGCTGCAGATGAAGCGGGGTGTTTTAAGGATCAGCAGATGTAGACAATTAGGACCAAACAATGAGCTCTGCTTTGATACCAAAGCCTGTCATCGTGATCTGCACATGCAGAGTGAATGTGCATGTTCAAAAATGCAAGTGTGTGTGTGTGTGTGTGTGTGTGTAAGAGAGCTCACCTGGTTTGATTTGCCAATCTGGCCAGGTGGGATTGCAACCTTTTAAACAGAGGCTGTTCATTGGCTCTCCCCACTGGAGCTGATCCAGAATCAACTGTCTTGACTGTGACATCATCAAAGAACGGGCACTGGTCATGATGGGATGATGTGGTACTGTGATGTCATCACCATCATGCCGGCTCCTGTACACATGTTAGTAGTCACGTAGCATGTTATCACTGTGGGAACATGTTCAATATGCACCACACCTCAAATGCGGGTGAGGTTTGTAGTTTCATACTCAACGTTTTCTCCGTTTTATAGTGTTTTTAGCTTCGGATAGTAATAAGCTCGTTGTTGTTTAAATGCTGGTGTTAAAACCTACAGTCCAGTTGTGAGAGGGAAAAACATAATGACGGTCGCATGAATGACGTGAATGATAAAGGTAGCTCGATGTGGATTCGGTGTAAGAAGGAAAAATAAGGTATTGCTGAATGTTACAACATTTATGGGTACAGCGGGTGTTACAGTATGTTCAGAAATTGTTACAGGTGGTTACATCATACAGTGGTATGAGGTTATAATTAGCTATTTTGGCAGATTAGGTAAGAAATAGTTACTCTGTGTTGTGTGGTCAAATCAGTCAGTATCCAAAAAATGATGTCCAGTCATGTCTACAATAGACATGCTGTAAAGTTTTAGGACACCGTTTAAGTCTTTATTAGCTCTAAAAGTACAAAGCCAGTGAAAGACTTGTTACTGTCAGTCAATGTAACTGATTCATTCGTCCCATAGTTGGTGTTCTTAATATTGCTATGCATAAATTATGCAAAAGACACCAAAAGCGAGTCAGGAATGGAGTCTGGGGATCAGAAGATTTAGCTCTTTTAAAAGCTTTTGTCTATGACCGCGCCTGTTGTGTATAGAGCAGCTTACAACAGATGCGACAGGAAGATCGGTACAGGAAATCATGTTAGCCAGTGTGTGATGCCATAAGTGATGCTAGTCCCATCTTCTGGTAAAAGCTGAGTCACAGGCACAGACCTCGTCAGCACAGTATCTTTACTGCTTCCACCTTCTCGTCTCTGGAGGAATTCCTCTGAAATGTAAAGATTTACTTCCTCTCCACAATTCAGTTAGATTTATTTGATCCAAGCAATCCAATTGGTCAGACCTGGAATTACAAAACATAATGGGGGTGCAGAAAAATTAGTGGTTGCTACTTGACTAATTAACATTATTTCTTGGCTTACACAGTGTTACTTTTGTTATTATTATTATTGTTGTTGTTGTTGTTGTTGTTGTTGTTGCACTACACCACTACAGATAGTATGAATACATTGATCAAAGCCAGCATTTCCAACATTTAAAGATTTACACAGTGAAAAACATTTTACCTTTTATAAATGTCAAACCTAAGGGGGAACAAATGAAATACCCAGCCAAGCATGTGTCCAAAAGAATAAAACAAATAAGCACATTCCTTGAATTTAATTGGTCCATAAATACCTTAAGAACTTACATTTGATATCAGTTCTGACCCCAATCCACCATAAAACACTTGAGCACTATTAAAATCATACTGGCACTGTATTTTTCCTATTCCCGTGGATAAACTGTCAAGTACAGTATAAGCAACATGGTGTCACACACGATGTTTCCAGGCAAAGCTGCATCAAATTGCTACAAATGCACCCAGAGAAGCTGGATGTATTGATCAGGCATCGGCTCCAACCAATAACTGATAGAATTGGAGCCAAACGATAACTTTCAGAGCTTTTCCTTCATGATCAGATCAAGGCCACGTCCTCTGGGAGCATGAGAAATGACATGTCAGAATACAGATTTGGTTTGCTGTTTGTTTTCAGTCACTGAGCACAAGATGGAAAAATCTTAAAATAGTTCAACTCTGGGAGGACTGCACGTCACCAGAGAAAACACAAAAGACAGCCAATGAGTGCCAAGTGATTCAGAAAAGCAAGTCTGTAATCCCGCCGTTTCTTTGCACTGGTGTGTATTGCGTTTCTGTGAGCGTAACAATATATGGAGCTAGTTTACAAAAATCATTCATCCTGGTGACAAACTGCTTTTAAACTGAGACTTTGAACACAGGACCTGTTTTAGAACCAGGTTCCTCTTACATATGTGTATCTGTTTCAGTGTGTGGGGGGGTACATACTGTATATGTGTGCACCGTTGGGTAATTTATCATAGTGTAATCTATCGAACCATGAGATTTCATTACAGCTGCTGCCCCCCCCGAAGTTACTGTGTGTGTGTGTGTGTGTGTGAGGAAGTGAGAGAGAGATTGTACATGTAGTTGTCTCATTTATGTTTATTTTGGATCCATATGAGAATATTCTTTAGTGTTTGTCTTTTCTAAGTAGGTTAGTGTCTTTGTGTGTGTGTGTCAGGGTGTTTTGGTTGGGCACACACACTTGCCTGCTAGCTGGGAGTATCTTTCAGATATCTTATTGACATGTGATTGGTGTAAAGAAGGCAGACAGACAGACAGGGCAGTGGAGTGTGTGAGAGGATTACCAGCGGACAGCCGATTCTATAATTGTTCAGTGAGCATTGAGGGGATTTTGCTGGACACACACACACTGGCATTCAGCTGCCAGTTTCTGTCACAGTGGCCCCTTCGGCATCCATCTGTATGTGCACCTACAGTTACTGTTCACAGCCACAAATAACAAGAGTGCTGCAACAAATGAATTTTGACTCTAAACACTTAAAAACTGAAAATATTTAATAATTAAGAACCGCGTTTTGCTATAAAAGATTTTTGTACTCTTAACTGCCACTGATCACCTGTGTGGGTGATAAGCTAAGAAAGTAAGAAGCAGAAATGCTTCTTTGAATGTACAAAGAAATCAGTTACCTCTCTTGGCCTGTGTCCTCTTCACTGCAGCAGAAAATGGTGGAAGACAAATTGCACTAATAGACAATTAGTCTTCTCAGGTTTTTATTATTTTTGAAAACATAATAAATTAAAGGTGACATGTAAAGTGCATTTATGCAATTCAGTATTTAACAACAAGCATCCTGTGTCCTTTTATATGCAGCTCAAGGATTATACTGTATACGCATTGTTCCAATGGTAAAACATTTTTGCTGAAATGCTATTAATTGCGATCTTAAAACTGGCTGTTTTAGAGTGGGTGACTTCTTTGTGATTCACTCAGCTGACATCGCTATGCGACTCATTTTGATGAAGTCATGCACCATACTTAGGTCAGGTCTTCAACATCATCAATATGAGTAATTGTGGTGATGTAAGAACATGCAGACATTAAACCATGAAACTCTTTCTCTCTCTCAATGTGGGGACTGGATGCTGGTCCCCACAGAGTTTTAAGGAGAGAGTTTAGGGTGAGGTGTTAGGCAAGTGGTGGTTATGGTTATGGTTAAGGTTAGGGTGAGTCTCCAGGAAATGAATGTAAGTCAATGTAAAGTCCTGCTAAATGATAAAAACAAGGATGCTTGCATGTGTGTGTGTGCACATGTGCAACAGTACTTCTATGTACATGTGAGAGTGCCCCACATCCCTCCGAGTCCCCATGTAAAGTATGACATCATCTCTCTGAGAGGTGTGACCCTGCATGTACAGCATCCCTAATGGGACATTAGAAGAGGATCAAGCGACTAATGTACCAGCATTAGGGAAGAATAAGTTGTGTCTTGTTTGTGTCAGACTAGAACACACACTACACACATCTGATCCCACAGATAGTCAGTTCAGCATTTCCTGGTCCTAATGCATATGTGTGTGTGTCATGTACAGTATGGTTATCACATTAGTGCTGGTCATAACTCACAGTGAGAGCACCTAGACACCTCCTGTTTTTCTTTCTCTCTGCCAACAGATATATTTTCTTTCACTCGCCCGCTGCTTCTGTCTGCATATTTACTTGAAATCGACAATAATAGACAAAGGTTATGTTTAAAGACTGACATGGCATGAATATTAAATGACAGACCAGTAGTTGTTGGGCACATATTCTATAAAAATTTGACAATGAATATAGCCAGCACAGGACAATCACATGAATCAAGGCAAATGTTAACAATTAAAGATTTAAAATTAGGTTTCATTGCAACTATTACAGAAATCAAAGACAATGGCAGGGATCTGTGATTAAAAAAAGAAATGTTTCAGAGTGACTCTATGTCACACCACTGTCATAGTTCAGCATTAATCTACTTTAAACCCAGGACATGGTTGATGGACAGAAAAATGAAGGAGAGGGCCATCCATGAAGCACTAATTTGGTGATTTGCATGTCACAAAATGTCTAGACATCTACAAACTAAATTGGGAAAAATAATCATGTCTATGAGGTCACGCTGAGCAGACTTCATTCACTGTTGAAGACTGTGAGAGAACAAGTAAATGCTCTGGAAAAATCTAGTAGTGTTAAGTGGCCATGGAGTATATTGTCAAACCACTAAGTCAAGAATGAACCTTTCCCTCTGGACTAAATTCGGTTGGCGATTTTTTGTGCTTGCCTGACCACAAAGAGACATGAATGAGGAAATGCAATGCGAACAATCACAGTTGATACAGTCTGCATCACCACGATGTGTAGTTACATTTCTGGGGAGGTGCATGTCAGGCTAGGGTGGAGGCTGGGCATTACCTACAGTACGTCATACCTATGGTGTAGATTTAATGCAGAACCATAAATCAAGCTTAATTACTGTGCATCAGTCCAGTGTTTTGTGAAAATATCTTCCACAGGGTCATGTGTTTTTGGTAGTTACCCAACAGCTTCTGGTGCATCACCACCCCCGTCCAGACTGGAGGAGGGCCAACCCTGATTTACACATACAGTAGCTGAGAAGAGATTAATCATACCAACAGATATAGTGTATATACAAGTGTAAATAAATTTGCCTTAAATCTCATCTTGTTTTTATCCAGATACAACAGATGTGTCAACATATTTTGGCACACATGAAAAAACAACAGTATAATGGCAGAAAGTCAGTTCAGCAGTTTGAACTGATACCTGAAAGATGTATTTAGTCTTCAGTTTCACAAAAACCAAAAAATAACCTTCATTTTGGCTCCATAATTAGATGCATTCCATTGTCACTGCGGGCTGTCCTATTGACACTACTCTGAGTCCTCAGGGTGTCAAGGTCAGATTATTTTAGACTTTTTAATTCCTTTTCAAACATAAAGGACAGAGACAAGATATACAACAACACTTTCAGTCCTATTCATATTAACATAGTGCAACTGGAAGCATTATTCATTTGTATTGAGCAGAAGGTAATCTGATGACTAATGCTTTCTTATTTCCTGATGCAACCTGGGAGAGATTAATTAGGCGATGTGAGTAGTTGTGTGTCTAAATACAAAAGACACAGGCAGGCAACGTATTCAAAGTGCATCGATCCCAGCAGTCACGGGTTCGGGGTGATGTAGTAGCAGAAGCCTGCAGACGTGATAATGATGATGTTACCAGAGGATCATCTTTCCTTCCCGTTTATCAGCTACTGCCTTACTGGAATGGCTTGAACATTCGGGATCAGGTTTCTGTGAATGAGTGTGTGTGCTGGGTGTGTGTGTGCGAGCTGCTCACCAGACTAATAATGAGAGGTTAGCAGAGAGTCAGCCTGGCCATAATAATGTCTAAAAGATTGAATTTAGTACCATGAATAAGCGCACTAACACTGCAGACTGGCTTTGTAACCTTTCATAGCCTCACTCACATACACAAACACTGGCAGAGAGCAATACATTCCACCAGGCACAAACTCACAGGAGAGTACACATGCAGCCACCCATAAGCGTGTGTCACACCGTGCAGCATAATACTGCAAAGAACAGAGTCATTTTCTCACATTAACTGTTAAACAAGACACCTTAGACCCGGGGTGTGAGCAGAGAGGAAGAGGGAGAGAGCGAAAGGATGGGAAGCTGAGGAAGAGGGAAGTTGGAGGAGAAGGTAAAAATGGACTGGGAAAGCAGAAGAACATGGAGGATGAACTGAGATCCAGGAATAAATGATAACATCGTCCATCACAAAAGATGAAAGGTGAATAAAAATGAGACAACTGTGGGTCAAAACCAGCCTTTCTTGTTGCAAAGTTATTCACCTTTACATCTTTTTTTTCTCAGCACTGTCTAGGCTGTCACAGCAACAGGGCAGCTCAGTAACAAAACTGCCCACGCTGTATCATTGTGGTCTGATTTAAACAGCAAAAAAGCCTACAGGGCACTTTAAATTTACTTTACAGTATATTCTAAATACCTATCACTTTAAGATGTCATTTAGGTGCATAAAAGCACTTGACTTGACAGGAGATAATCTACCTTTAAAAGGAGTGAAGAGCAATTTGTTTATCATGAATAGATGTTGAAATGGATGTTGGTTGATGGTGTGGAAGGAGGGGAGGAAGAGGCTGCATGTGACTTTTATGTGTGATGTGTGCTTTTACATGTGCAGTCTTCCTCCATGTGTCTTCACATGCATCAAAAAGCTTCATCTGAGTTTCTGGTGAATTTTAATCTGCTGTAGATGATTTTTTTTTTAGACTGATTCCAAAAAGACATGAGAGGAAAGCTACAGTACTGTGCACGTTTTTGGCTACCTACTCCTTTTCTCTCTTTTTCTCAGGAGGTTATTCTGAAGAGAGCAGCTGACCTCGTAGAAGCTCTTTATGGTTTGCCCCATAATAACCAGGTACGGAGCAGACATCTACATGGACAGAGGAAAACATGAGATCGCATTGCTTTAGTTCTCATTTTCTCATGTTTTCCCATACCTGTAGGAAATTATCTTGAAGCGTGCAGCGGACATTGCAGAAGCTCTTTACAGTGTTCCACGAGGACACACCCAGCTCTCCGGCTCCACCCACACCGGCATGATGGGGGTCAACTCTTTCACCGGGCAGCTGTCCGTCAATGTCTCTGAACCTTCACAAGCCAATCAGGGTAAGAGACTGGAAATGAGACTGTCAGCAAAAATTTGACTCCCCATTATGTGTTCATTGTTGTAGCCATGACAACAAAGGTCCTCTAACCTTGACAAAGAACTTATTTTTACCCAAACCATAACTTTTCCATAAACCTAAAGTTTTTTTTGTGTCTGTGCCTAACTAAACCATGATCATTCTATAACAGTAAATGTGCATTAATTAAATTTTTACACATTGTCGGATGGGTAAAGTTTGTCTGTTCGCTATTTTGGGAGTAATCTGAGCTTTGTGCAACATTAGTGTTTTGTGTCACATTAGCATTAACCAGTGTGTTCTACTGGACGAACAAATTAGTCAGCTAACGCTAGCGTCAGACTGGAGGATGCATTTTGCACCCTGTGTCACAACCAGGCATCTGTAGTTTATGTCATCACTAGGAAACAGAACCTGATGGGAGGAGTAAGGAGTGCTTAGGAGGCTATGGTGTCCATTTGTTTTGAGCCTCACCAGACCCTCTACTGGCTGAGAAGAAATTAGGCAGTGTTTAATGATGTAACCATAGTGATGAAGGTCTGACACATATGTCTGTCATAGTGGTGCTACTTCAGGAGACACTCCTATGGGTTATATCATAGGGTAGGGGCACGTAACCAACAGTATATGGTCTATAGGGTCTTGCATCAAATATACACCCACATTATTAGGTACACCTGTACAATTGTATGCCTATCTGTGTTTATGAAGCTCAGAATATTTCAGCTTGTCATAAATGTATAGATTTAATTGTATGTTTATAACTGAGGTCATAGTTAGAGGTGGTGTTGTACTGAACTACGTTTTATTTGTTTGTTTGTTTATTGTACTGTCCTGCTCCTCTCCCTCTCCACCATGCATCCTCCAGGTTTCGTGCGTAGCAGCAGTAGTGTATCTCCTCACGGTTACGTGCCAAGCTCCACGCCTCAGCAGACCAGTTACACTTCAGTCACCAGTGCCATGAATGGCTACACTAACAATGCTGGCATGACCAACCTGGGAGGCTCGCCCACTTTCCTCAACGGCTCCGCAGCCAACTCGCCTTATGCTAGTGAGTGTGCAACAAACATACATACAATAGCATATAAATCTAACATATTGTACATTCACAGATTTAAAAAATAGCGGTGTACACATACAGACACACTCAACTGCACAGAAATGTCTATGGACAGACAGTGAAGGTCTCAGATCTGCAGTGTGGACATTTCTGTTACTCTCTTCAGAATCATTCACCAACTCACAGCTCATAGCTTCATTTTGTCCTCCATCCATCGCCTCCCTCCTTTCATCTGGCAGCCACACCTTGTCTTCTTTGGTTAATTGAATCCCTTTTCAATTTAGAAGAAAACAGGAAACAGAGAGAGAGAGAGAATAAAAATGGATGCATAGAGACGTCAGATTGTTTGTTTGCTTAAGGTTTTCTAACTGATGATGGTGATGGTGGATGCAGATGTGAATGTTTAACTTGGGAAGACCAGGCCTATGTGAAACCTTCATGTGTCACGTCTCATAAAATACATTTTGAACCTCATCTATATAATATATACCACATTGGTTATAGTATATAGTCTCCCAAACATTACACCATACTGTGGAACATCTCATTCCTAAATACTGAACATTAATTTGCTGCTATAACAGCCCCCGCTCTGCATGGAAAGCTTTCCACAAGATTTTTGAACATCGCTGCAGGGATTTCCTTAGTAAGGTTGAACACTTACACTGGGCAATACGACGTGCCTCACAGTCTGGTTGTTTAAATCCATCCCACAGATACTGAATGACGCTCAGGTCAGTGCTCTGTGCAGGCAGTGTTGATATGATACTGTACACATGATAATTCAAAAGATGTTTCACTACATATTTTATATAAAGCAGCATTTAATATCTTAATACAGTTCACAGATTCACCTCACTTGTCTGTTCAGTGTCAACAAAGAGAATATAAAAACCTGATCTATTCATTATTTATAGGAATACATAATTTCTGGGTTTAGGGAGGAGGAGCTGATTTGACAAGGGCAGACATGTTTTTGCCGTGATTTAAACAACGCCATGGGTCACACTGTGCCGGTTCAAACAGAAGCTTCACAGAGACACCACACTTACATTTTTTAAAAGCACAATGCTAAAATAAGTTTAGGACAAGGAGAAGACAGCCACAGACTGAAAGTAGCAGCGGATTTTAAAATGTATTAGACACACACTCTTTTTTGGTTTGTGGTCTTAAAATATGGTCATCATCAGAAACTAAATGGACTGTATTTTATATAGCGCATTTTTCACAGTGTGTTGCACTGGCCAAAGCGCTTTACAGTAGATCATACACCATTCACACACTGATGACGACAAGGCTGCCACACAACGGCACTAGTCAAGCCACTGGGAGCAATTCGGGGTTCAGTGTCTTGCTCAGGGACACTTAGGCATGTGGGGAGACTGGGAGTCGAACCACCAACTTTCTGGTCAGAAAATGACTTGCCCTACCTCATGAGCCAGAGCCACAGCCACCCCCAACTAGTCTACCATAGTTAGAAAACAAAGGTTTATCTTTGCTATTATTTAAATTGATGTCCAAAAAGATGTTACTGTAAAGACACAGGAGCATCCGAGAATCATAAATGTTACTTTATTCTCTACCTGACTGGCCAATGACAGAAAACACTCCCATTATGAGCATCCGAGGATCATAAATGTTACTTTATTCTCTACCTGAATGGCCAATAACAGAAAACACTCCCATTGTGATATGAAACTGGGGAAACCAACTCAGGGGTTGTTGCAAAGTCACTAGCAGAAACAAGTTTAAAACTATTAGATTCAGTCATCTTCATCCTCCTCCCATTCTTCATCCATTTCCCTTTTTTTCTCTGACCTCGCTCTTCTTCCTCATCATCCTCGTCATCACTGTCCCTGTCATTCACCACTTCCTCCTCTTCTTCCTCTCCACTGGGATCCACCTCTTCCTCCCTCCAGGCAAGTCAAGTTCTTCCACACCAAACCATTGCTTTACTCTGCTTGGTGCACAGACACACATTAAAACAGGGCCTCCCCTAAACTGTTTCCATAAGGTTGGAAGTATACTATTGTCTAAAATATCATTGTAACTGAAGATTTACCTTCACTGGAGTTAAAGGGCCTAGTCCAAACCATGAAAATAGCTCCAGGCTAAAGAAAATAAAAACATGTGGTCAAGGGTTTCCATATACCTTTGGCCATATATTTTATTCTCAAATAGCCAATTTCAAGCCAGTTTTTATTACATATCAAAATCTGATTTCTTTGACATGACATCTTTAGAACGTGCTGTAAATCATGACTTTCTGATAATGGCACAATGACAATAATTTCATTTCTAATATAATTGATGACAGTAAATTGGATAGTCATGCTTCATACAGTAACCATGAACTGTCTCTCTCCTCTGTTCTCACCCTTCGTCATTACCCGCCCTTCTCTTCTTTATCCCACCTCTCTCTCCCTCTGTCTTTCTCCTTATTTATCCTCACCACTGCAGTTGTCCCATCCAGTCCCACTATGGCCTCCTCCACCTCCCTCCCCTCCAACTGCTCCTCCTCTTCTGGTGTCTTCTCCTTCTCTCCGGCCAATATGGTGTCGGCAGCCGTTAAGCAGAAGTCCGCCTTCGCTCCGGTGGTCAGGCCCTCCTCCTCCCCTCCACCCTCCTGCACCAGCGCCAACGGGAACGGCCTCCAAGGTAATTTACCATGACAGCAGCTAGTCAGTGCATGCTTAGAGGGAGGATTTCCCCAGCAGATGATGCTTTTTATAACTCTATTATAGTCCCTCCGATGTTCCACATCCTTCTTTTACACCTATCACAGTACCTGATCAGCTAGTAAGTGCTTACTGTTGTGTGTTTAACAGGTGAGTTTTTATACCAGTGCACCACTTTGGTCCAAAGTGAATTATCTCAAACTCTTATAGAATTGCCATAAAACTTTGTACTAAGATTCATGGTTCCCAGAGGATGAGCCATGATGACCTGATCACATGATTTTTTTGTCTACAGGTGCCAGAGGTTCACATTTGTATTTTTAATGTCTCAACAGAATGGATTTCCATGACATTTCATATATTCAACTGTATTTCGATCATGAAGTCCCACAGGTTTTAAAATGACTGTTCTTCTCTGGGATGTGTCATCAGTTGTCACAGAGGAGAATGTGATTTGTCCTCATGCCTACAAATCCACTGATGTGCTCAAATTACGTAAATTGTGAATGCAAACTACAACTGTGATTAAAATTTGGGATTTTTAGCAACTAAAACTAGTGTTGACTGTGGTAGAAGATGAGACACAGAACGCAGTTGTCAGTATCAAGTTTGTGCACTTCTAAAGCCCAGCCATCCACCCTGCCCTCCACCTTAAGAGCAGCGTTATATAAGAGCAGCTTCATCTATATTTGTTGCATTTTTTTAAGTAGTCATCATTCTCATGACTGCAGGAAAACGTCATTTTAAGCCTTTTAAATAACCATTATTCCTGGTGAGGACAGTCTAAACAAAATCTGCTTTTTGTTTTTTCCTTCTCTCACTTCTCTGACTTTTAACTCTTCCTGCTTTTATTCCTCTGATCTTACATCCTTCCCTTGCCCTTTCTCTTTAACTATCTCTCTCTCTCACATGCCTCTCTACCAGAACATTTGTGGACTCTAGCAAGTACTCAACAGCCAGCTCTCTACAAGGCCTGGCCTTCACCTGAAGTATGTTCCTCAACTGTTTCTTCATTCACTCTGTTAACTAATCGCAACTTTTGGTAAACTGACCAATTCAGATAAGTCACGTTTCACATCTTTTAACTGCCTCTGAGTGATATTTGATTCGCTTCCCTGGATTTTTACCTCAATTTCTCCCTCATGTCTTGTCTTGTCATTGCCTGTCCACCCTCTGCCTTCTTAATTTTCTGTCTACCTGTCGTCCCGCAGCACAGATCAAACCATTCTGTTGCCTGGTAACTCCTCTCTGTCTTCCTATTGGCTGGGAAAAGAGACAGGAAGTTAGATATTTACAGAGACAAGAAAAAAGACATCTGGCACAGAGAATTTATTTCTCAACATCACTGGCTTTGTTTTGCTGTGTGTGTGTAGAAAATGTGCGGGGGTGTGGGAACGCAAAGCTAAGGCTGAAAGCACAGCTGAAAAAAACACACCCCACTCACCACCGCACACACACTGTTTCCTCTGTTAGACACACACGGTACTGGTAACTTACTAGGGAGCAATCAACAATGACAGCTGCTCAACTCTCTAGACAGTTTTTATCTGTGTGTGTGAGCAGGCTCATGAGTACCTGAGACAAAAAAGACAGGTTCAGCTGAGACCGTAGATCCTGAAGAGTCTTGTCAAGCTGAAATATTTTCTTCTTACAGTTTTTGCTCCCCATGAAAACATTTACAGCACCAGTCAGACGTTTGAACACCTTCTCATTCAACGGGGTTTCTTTCTTTCTATTATTTTCTACAGTGTGCATTACTACTGAAGACATCAAAACTATGCAATAGAGAGCCATAATAGTGAGTCTTATAACCCAGAACTGAGTTTTGCACTTCAGTTCCATCGCCCTAAAGTCCATGGGTTCTATGAAGGAGTTTGAATGACCTAAAGTAAAGCCTGTGGATACGAACACGAAACATCATCACGTCAAATCCAGAGATTCATCTCCTTAGTAGTCCACCTTTACAGCCTCATTGTGTTTAAACTCACGCACGTGCAAACTGTTCTGACCAGCTGACACAGCCATGATCACTAGCTCGATCGGGTCACACTAAGAGGAAAGGATTTTGTCGAAGAACTTAGGGCGTTAAATTAAATTTCAAGTTGGATGCTGTGGTGATGGCACTGAAGTCACGGGGCCCTTGGTTTAGTTTGCTTATAGCCTAGCGTTAGCCTTTTACTTCTGGGGATTGTATTTGGGCTTCAAAAATCATAAAAGTGGTGTTCACTTGTGACAATTATCTTGCTGAACAAAATGTGTAAACTGTTGTTTGTCACAGAGCTTATATTCTGCACTAATGCAAACATGTATGGAGAAATCCCACTGGCATTTTGTTGAGGGAACCAGTGTGATGCTAACTTCTGGGGTGGCCTACAAAAATACATCAGTCTTACAGCATTCAATAACAATTTGGAATTATGTAGTTCAGGAATTTCAGGAATTTTATGTTTCTTCAAGTTCAGTAGTGAAAACCATCAAACACTGTGATGAAACTGGCTCTCATGAAAACCAAGAGTTACCACTTATGCAGAGGATAAATTCGTTAGAGTCACCAACCTCAGAAATCACCAGTTAACAGCATCTCAGATTAGAGCCTACATGAATGCTTCCCAAGTAGCAGACGCATCTCAGCATCAGCGGAGGAGACTATGTGAATCACAAGGGAGACCAAGAAGAAGAAGATGACCGCTTGGGCTAAAAAACACAAGGAATGGACAGTAGACCAGTGGAACTCTTTATTTTGGTCTGATGAGTCCAGATTTGAGATTTTGGCTTCCAACCACTGTGACTGTCAGCCACAGAGACAAATGATATTTGCTTGTGTGCTTCCCACCGTGAGGCATGGAGGAGATGTGATGATGTGAGGGTGCTTTCCTGGTGACCCTGCTCACAATGTATTCCAAACTCAAGACGCACTTAACTGGCACGACTCCACAGTGTTCTGCAGCAATACGCCGCCCCTTTTGGTTTGTGCTTAGCGGGACCATCATCTGTTCTTCGACAGGACAATGGCCCAAAACACCTTCACACCTGTAAGGACTGTTTGACCAAGAATGAGAGTGTCAGATGACCTGGCCTCCACAATCTTCCAACCTAAACCCAGCTGTGATGGCTTGGGATGAATTGAATTTCATAGTGAAGGAGAAGCAACCAACAAGTGTTCAGCATATGTGGGAACTCTTTCAAGACTGTTGGCAGCTTTCCAGGTGACCACCTCATGAAGTTGGTTGAGAGAAAGCCAAGAGTGAGCAAAGGTGGCGACTTTAAAGAATCTAAATTTAAAACATATTTTACTGCAACACTTTTTTGGTTAGTGCATAATTCCATGTGTTATCTCATACATAGTTTTGCTGTGTTTATTATTAATCTACAGTGTAGACAATGATGGAACAAAGAATGAACACTAAATGAGAAGATGTGTCCAAATGTTTGACTGGTCATGTACGTATATAATCCTTTCTCCAGTTTGCTTTGTGTGTGAGTGTGTCACTTTGGACCGGGCCCTGCTTCTCACATGTTGACACCCATCCCTTGGGTTTAAATAGAACACACATCATGATGCAATCCATCAGGCACACATACAAACATACAGTATTATACAACAACCGTTCCCGCACACAGTTTAGTGTGTGTGTGTGTGTGTGTGTGTGTGTGTGTGTATGTGTGAGCAGTGCTGCTGAGAGCCAACTTAGATGATGTGTCCCTGCTCGATGTTACTGATTTATTCATCTATTGATGTTTCAAATGTCACTGCATTCACACAGCTGCACAGATGGGAAACATACTGATGTATTTACTAGGGAATATTTTATGACAATGAAAATATTTGGCTATGTTCTAAAAGTTTTTTTTTCTCTTTTCTCCCTCCGTTCCTTTTTCTCTTCCTCCTCCCAACAGCAATCCCTGGAATGATCATCCCGCCCATGTAAAGGTGTGAGTGCATGACAGTGTGTGCGTGTATGTGTGTGACTTTGTGCAAGATGAACCAAGCACACTCACATCGATCCTGGCGGAGGATTTTGTGCGAGTTATACTCCGGTCGGGGATGGAAGCAGCTGTCCCTGTTTGAAGGAACAATCCCAACTCAGGCCCTTTCTAACAAAATCAACAACAACAACAACTGCAAGAAAACATGCAAAGAACAAAAAAAAAGACTTTGCAAGAAGAAAATAAGTTGTTGAGACTTTGTACACCTTGATGCTTTTATAGGAGAATGGCCACGCCTACATTACAACTTGACACGAACACAGGAAGTGTATTTATTTTGGAAAGAATCCATTTCCTCTTTTGAGTGATTGTTGATTTTTTTCCCTTTGTGCAACATGTGATAATCATCTTCTATCTGTATTCTACATGAGGGATTTTCTATTTATGAAGTTTGGTTATTAATGAAGGAATATAATGTGAAGATGATGGTGATGATGATGAGTAAAAAATGATGATGAAGAAGCTGCAGGATTCATACAGGGTCAAATCCAGACAAGCCAACCCAGACACACCCTTTCACCCCTCTTTGCCAAATCCACACACAACAGCACAATTCCAGCTGAGAGTTCTACTTCTGCGTTTAATGGATCACTTTTAGCCATTGAAGAAATCCCACTTCGAGCGTGATTTACGTACTGCTGCTCGCCGATATTTTCTAGAAAGTGCAATTTTGTCTCTCACCCAACAGAAGGTTCTGTAATTCAGTAATTTAACAAACTAAGAACAAATAAGAAATTCATTTCCACCACGAGAGGTTATAGACTTGCCAACAGCAGCTTCACTGTTGAGGATTTGACCCAACAATTCTGCCACTGAGTTCGTCCATCAGCCCTGTCACCACATTTTAAAGTTGGACACGGCTACAGCGGCCTCTGTAAGAGGGGGAACATGTCTTAAAGACTGCCACCACTTTGACTTTGTTGTGTGAGATTTGCTTTCCCATGTTTTGGTCTTAACAGATTTGTTTTTTGTTTTTGTTTTTTTGGTTAGTTTGCTGTGTTGTTTTACTGTGATCAGACAGCCAATCAGACAGTTTTTTGTTACCTGCCCATTGATCTGATTCAGTTTGAGTGAGAAAACTAGCCTGTGGTGTGTCCTAAAAGCTGTGCTGCAAAAAATGTCATTAAAGCTTCAACTTAGTCTTAAAATTCTACCAGGGAAAAACTTGTGAAACCATCTGTCACTGAGGCAGACTTTTTCAGATCTACAGTGGAGCTGTATCTAGAACGTAGATGCATCCCATTTTTGCACTTTTTTAAAGCTACAGTAGTAGGGGTTTTTTTTTTGTTTGTTTGTTTGTAGAAATTTGCTCCAAAACGTATCTTAATGTGGAGAGGTGCTGTCGAAGCCTCCTGTGACCTAGACTCACTGAACAGCCCTGGCAGCAGAGTCTAAAGGTTATTGAGCAGGATTGATCTCTCTAACCAATCAGAGATTTTCAGTTATCTGTGCTTGATCAGTAAGTTTGTTGCATTCCTATTTATTGTGATTTCATAACAACAAATATCTAAAGAGCGTGGTGGAGCATAGCACATTGTAGTAGAGGGAGTGCTGTGAGGAGCAGAGTATGTTGATTTGGAGGTTCATGCTAGCGCTACCTTAAAGAGCCCATGGCATGCTCATTTCCAGCTATTTAATGCTTAATCTTGAGAATCTCAAGATTAGCTTTGCACCCATCATAGCTCCAAAGAGTCTGTAATTATTTCAGAACAATAAAACCTGAGAGCCTCCTCCTGAAAATGAGAGGATGGTTCGTGAACGCACACAACTCCTGTTGTCAGTGTTGTCGCAAGAGGACAGCACAACAACCTGTGACAGCATTAATCAATGTGAATTTCTTTTCCATAGATAGGTAAACAACAGTTTATGTACTGATGACAAGAGATGTGTAACACTCTAAACAAAGTGGGTAATTGAGAAACCCCATATTTTAACCAGCATAAAGCAGACATAGTAACTTCTCCAGTCTTACAACAATTCTTTCTAACGTTACAGAGTTTGTGAGACATATAAATCAAGTTGCTATTCAGTCATGTTTAAGATGATAATTCATCGTAACACTGTAGATAAATCAGAAAACACAGAGGCATGCCATGGGCTCTTTAAGTTACATATTGTAGCTTTAACTCTGAATTTCATGTCGAAAAAGGACATTTTTTGCAGCACAGGGCAACTAGCCAGCAACGTCTTAATGTGTGAAAACTGGCTGATGATTTGTTGTGAAAGCCAGTGCTCCCTGGGCTCACAGCTCAGTGTGTGTGGTTCAACAGTCTTAATTCATTTATATTCTATTAATTTTGCCAAAGTCCTTATTTAAGAAATGAATGCCTATACAGTCTTATACAGTTCAATGTGTCTTTTCTTGTCACACAGTCAGAAATAGTTAGCTAGTAAATGCCATATCATGTACAATCGGCGCTTTGTTTTCAGAACAGCAGCAGGTAGTGCATCTTTATTGTTTGTTCGTCATTCAGGTCAATGACATTTGCCACACATATATAGTATTTCAAAGTGAATATGGAAACTTAACTGGACAGAAAACCTACTGACACTGTAAATCTTTCCTATTTCTGTTTGAGGACACCTGGACGTCCAGTTGCTGTCAGTTTACTGCAGAGGAAGCAAACGCTTAGAATCCATCAGCTTTTAAATTTTTAGTTCAATGAGCGAGAGACGTCTCCTCAGCCAAACGTCAGTAGCCTCAGCAACTGAGACTGACAGTCTGTCAGTGAAGTCAGGATGGAAGAACAGGGATATCACAGAGAATATGATAAATCAACAAAAGGCCTGAAAAGATTCTTTAAAGCTCAAATCCTTGTTCTCTCATGCTTTGTCTCTCATGTCTAGGAATGTTTTTGTATTATAGTGTCTGTTTATTAAAAGCCATACTTCCACTGCTAATTTCAATCAAACCAAAAGAAGCCATGATGTAATTTTTTTTTATCATTTGTAGTTAAGGAAGCAGGAGGATGTTTATTTTTTTGTCACAATGTATGTATCTTTATTGTTAAAGTTACCATAACATGTTGCATTATCTAGATGTAGAGATGCTAAATATGTCAGTATGATTATCTGTGCTTGTCTTCCATGTGATGGATTTTAAGTTGGAATAATGAAGGCTGAAAAGATTTAAGAAAAATCTCTCTCTCTGCCATCCTTCCCCTTCAGGTTCTCTGCTCTCTCCCTCTGTTCATTTCCCTCCATCACTTTGTTTTGATTGTGCTATCAATGCTCTTATGTTTGCTCCCTCTTTCTTCTTGCTTTCATTTCTCTTTTAAAAACGAGCCACCTATTTATTTGTTCTCAAACATGGGTCTGGAGACCACTCTTCTGTTTTGTGTGCATGTGAGAGTGACTGCAAGTGTGTGTATCTGAGAGTGTATGATTTTTTTTTTTTAACTCTGGAAGAAAAATGTGATGTTTTAAAGCTGAGGGATGTTTTTATAGTACATATATACAGTAAATGCCTGTACAGGAAGGTGTAACTAGAGGGTTTAGGTTTAAGGAAGTATGATGGAGCACTTGTCCAGCAACAGTAAAGACATTTACATGGCTTGTCTGCATTCAGGCTTACAGTGGTGGTCATCATTCATCCACACATTACCATTAGTACCAGTGTGGACAGGACGATTACAGAGGAAACTACTGTAAAGATGATAATGTTGATTTTTTTTTGTTTTGTTTTCTTTTGAACTTTGAAGTGTAAAATAATTTTTTGACTCTCACTATATTTAATTAAAGTTTTTTCTTCTCTGTGAAATGATGTCTTTATTGGCTTTGTTGTTAATCGCCATTGTTCATACTATAATGCAACGTATACAGGGAAGAGATGCATTTAAGTGATTTGAGATGCACTGATGCAGTTTTCAAGGCTGAACCTTTCATTCTCTGCAGGAGGAAGGAGGGTGGAGTTGAGTCATCACTTAGATTAGTCTCACCTGGACTGATTGCCTGACTACTCTATATACAGTAAACCGGGGTTAGGCTCCTGTTTCTATGTGTGTTGGTTGGGTTTTGTGTAGGCTAGTTTCTCAGTTACTTAAAATAAGTCTGTTTGTTACTTTCAAAATTCAGAAGGCCAAAGACCTTACTATAACTTACCTTACACACGAGTCAGTATGAAGTGCATGTTTTATGAGTTGTGATCCAACAGTAACCAGAGGTTTTGGTGCATGTGCCTTCATTGTTTATCACCAAACAGAACAGTGATTTCAGGAGATCAAACCTAAAAAACAAAAGATTTAGTGTGTCCTTGCAGTGAACTTCAGTGTTTGGCAGCTGGCTCTTTAATCTTGTCTATTGCTGGGATCTGACACATTACCAGCCTGATGGTATTCACTTCACAGCAGACGTTATGAGCCTTCATTACAATTAGTTTCACCTGTGCTTCTCCTGTTAGTCTGCTCAGATTTTATTTTTTTTATTTTCTCACACCTGCAGGACTTGAATGGCTTCCCTTCCTTGACATTAAGACCAGAGAGCATTTTTCTGTGACGTGACAGTGAAATTATTGCATTTCTGTGAATTTTACAATCACCTTCTGGTCAGGAGCATTTTACCAAATTAATCACACAATTAACGTCACCTTCTGCATGCCTACTCTGCAGTTCTGCTGCACACCCATAAATTCACTCTCGTTCTAGTGATTTGAAATGACGCAGCACACCTTTACTGCAAAGTGATGGTAAACGATTCCAGATTCATTTTCATTCATAAAACCAATTAGGCTACATAATGAAACGCGTGTTTTCGTTCAATGAAGTCTGTCCCTGAACCTATATTGTGCGAGCTAACAAGATAATGTGTTTTCCATAATTCTCAGTCAAGTCATGACAAATTTGACACATCAAGAATCTCTTAATCACAGACACAGTGACCATCCAGGTGCTGGATGTCTGAGCTTTCCACACACCTGAGCTCACTTTAAGATGTGCTTAGTTCGTTTTGACTACATTCACACAGAAGCACAACTTCACATAACAAATTAAGTTGACAGTGGATAACCAGGATGTTTCAGGTGTCTGCAAACTGATTTTAGTTCAGTACTGGTATGAACTGCAGCCAGTATATCAACAAGAAAAAAAGCCAACCTACTTTCCTAATTACTCAGCAGCAAAATTAATCTGTTACATGTTACTTTGTTTTGTCAGAGGCACCTTTTAGACAACTCCATATGCTTCAACACCCACTCATCTTTTGTATGTAACATACAGACAGATTAGAGGAAAAACTAGCATAAAGTGAGCAACATTAACTTTTTAGTATAATGTCTCTAGAGCAGGAAGAAAAAACACATTCCCTCATAGTGTTGCACACACTTTTTCATACTCATTAAACCATTCAATAACGCAGAGCTGCAACTATTAGTCAGTTCACTGGTTTAAAAAAATAATAATAATTAACCGGCAACTATTTTGAAGCAAAAATTATTTTCTGTTTCCACCTTTTTAATGTGAACGATTCATGTTTTGATTTGTCACATGTGATAAACTGAATATATTTGAATTTGTTTGCCCAAAAGACATTTGAAGACTTTCACTCTGAATTTTAAAATGGATGTCTTTAGTTTAATTACTGGATTTCAGTTAACTCCTAATGTTAACTGACACATTAACTTGTTAAAATATTGGTCCCAGTTACTGTTTCAAATGAATTTTATTTTGTACTTCACCCTTCACACATATTAGTTCAGTAAAAAGTGCTGTAAAGTTGACTCACAAGACCTGAAGATGTACAAACACCAAAAAGCAAAATTGTAGCGATTTAGGGTCCATGTCGCTGAAATGTGACTCATGACACCTCACTGTTCAATGTTAAGCTCCATTTCAGTAAACATATAGTGACATAGAGGTCCTTCTGGGTGAAACTGTTACACAATATAGCAGTCAGAGGAGGGGACTCACTCAGTATGAATACTTGTTTCATTATTTCATTTTTTGTTCTTCTGTTACATCAAGCTGTTTCTGCTTCCAGCAGCTCTGTTGAGCAATGCTAGCAGCGCTGCCAGTGATGTGGTCATAGAGTACACAGCGTGTGTGTGTGTGTGTGTGCCTGGTATTACTCACATTTTAGGGACCAAAACCTGTTCACATGCTCACCCTGTAGGGACTGGGCCTTTCTCGTCTCATCATGTAAATCACTGAGCTACGGGGTGATGACTTGGTTTAAGGTTAGGTGAAGGGTTATGGTTTCAGCGGCAGAGCAGTCGTCTCCCAACCAGAAGGTTGGAGGTTTGATTTGTGGTGCCTGCACTCCACATGTCGAAGTGTCCTTGGGCAAGATACTGAACCACAAGTTGCCCCCAATGGCCAGAGCAGTGCCCTGCGGGGACAGTCCCACCATCGGTGTGTGTGAGTTGGCGCCGTAGATGGCTGCCTCAGTTCTGTACCAGAGACAGATTCCTTGTGTGTATAATATTTGGCCAAATAAAGTGATTATCATAAAGCTAAGGTTAGAGTTTATCTCTAGGACATGAATAAAAATCAGTGTAAGGTCCCCATGAGGAATGAAAACCATGTGTCTGTGTGTGTTCATAAACAATACAAATTCTCTAGTGACACCCATTTCTGTAATGAGACAGATGGGCCCTGCCTTTAGTCAACCATCAGCATGACCACAGGCTGTGTGTGTGTGTGTGTGTGTGTGTGCTTGTATGCTTAATCATTGTTAGGACCAGTTTCAGTTTTATAGCAGGGGAGTGTGGACATTTTGGCCTGTCCTCTCTTTCTGGTCCGTCTGTAGAAGGTTAAGACTTGGTTTTAGGGTTAAGTGTTAGAATCAGGTTAGGATTAAGGTAAAGGGCCAGGGAATGTGTTATGTCAATGAGTGTCCTCACAAAATTAACCGTACAAATATGTATGTGGGAAAATTAAGACTAGCGTGTAAGAGGTATCTTTCTATTCCTAGCCTGCAGGATTAATCAAATAGGAGCCACCGATGTCTCATTGACACCAATTACTTTGTCTTGTGGCGTGCACACATCTGCACATACATGTACTGAAACTGTGGACACACATCTGCTTATTTGAATTCAGTTTGGGATTATTTATGGGCTTGTACCTATAAGTTGAGGAATGCAGCCGATTCACCTGAGTGCTATTTGAACACATGCGCAATTCACAAAAACATACTTGTTCGATGGCTTGTTGGCTCTGTGTGTGTGTGTGTGTGTGTGTGTATGCATTGTGTTGTGAGTCTGACAAGATAGGACTGAATACATCCATTAGCTAATGGATCTCTACTCTCGTTTTTTCTCCTTCTTTTATCCCTCTCATCTTCCCTCCATCACCACATCACACTTCCAGTGCACTTAACCCTATCAGGAAAAAACACACACAGAGACACACTAACCCCTACTACTCCTCCCCCAGTTGGAAACCTTTTATTTAGACGAGCTGTACATGCTGAGAGTGAGCCTTCTTTTGAGGTTTGGCTCTGCTCACAGAACAGTTTCAAAATCAGGACTCTCACCATTCATTTCATATTGCAATAAAACAGGACAGTGAAAAGTGGTCGGATCAGCTTTATTACGCACAGATGTTTATGGTTACAATTGAGAAATACTTTCAAAATAGAGTTGTGAAACAAATTTATGCAGCAGTTCTGGTATTTGTGCAACTGCATAAATTAAATACTGCTGTAGGGGCTATTACAGCAACAGACTCAGTTTCCCACAGTCCTCCACTTATCAGCTTCCTACCTGAACTGACCCACACAGTAAAACAGGATATGATGCAAATTATACCAACAAAACAGACTAAATTTTGTCTCTGTGCTGTGAAACTATGGCTGCAACAACAACAATTAAACAAAATTAGCAGCTAGTCACTGAACACAGCGGGGGGATTTAGCAGCTAAGGAGCGGGAGACCAAAACCAGAGCTAAAACAGACATTCACCAGGTGGCAAGAAACACAACTTCAAATATACAGCATGATCATGTTGCTCTGCTAACAAGTTTGCTATATCAGCTGGTTTCCATTGCCCCAAATAAATAAAAAAATGAGTTTGCAAAATTACTGCAATAAACTATCTAACAATGGAGAAGTGTGGAGGAAAGAAGCATCAAATATACAAGCACAGAAGATAAAAAAATTCAAAAGAGAAAAGTCATGAGAATTAGCTGGAGATCGAACAAGAGGAGATATCAGAGAAAGGGTAAAGATAAGGAGAAGAGGAGGGTGACAGTGATAATGTGTGTGATAATGGTGTCATCAGTGAGTAGAAAGGTGATGTTGGTGTATGACTGAAAGCTGAAGAAGAATAAAACCTAATCATGTGTGTGTGTGTGTGTGTGTGTGTGTGTGTGTGTGTGTGTGTGTGTGTGTTCAAGGTTTGGCCTGTGCATTTGAATGAAGTGTGCTAAAGCTAAGTACAGGAGATGACACCCCTCACTGATACCACTCCAGAACCACTTGTAACACACACGCTCTCACACATAGTGAAAAACACACTCACTTAAATAGAGGGTCTGAAATTGAGCTGGGACTTGGAATGAATACTCCAAACAATTATCTTTGTCTCTAGCGTCTAGTAATCCATTTCCCATGAATATGTTCACATTCGCTCTTTTTTTTTTGTCCTCCATCCGCCTCCCTCCTTTCACCTCCTTTACAGGTGATGGTATGTTTCCCCAAGGCTTTCCAGAGAATGTGACAATACAGACAGACATACCTCTGATATAACGGCATCAGATGCCTCACATGCAGACGATGGTTACT